CCCCCAAGCGCGCCGAGAGCGGTCTCGCCACGCGAAGCCGGGCAGGCGGCTCTATGTGAATCTCTTCGGCCCCCGGGGACCGAGCGCGGCCCGGAAGGGAATCACTCACCCTGTAATTATGATAGTGCGTCTCCACGAGATGCCGGTGGCGCGACTTGCTGTGGCCGAAGTTGGATTTCTCGCACACCAGTAAATGGCGCGGCGCTTCTCGCAGCCTGCGCAGCGTGGCCATGCTCGCGCTCATTCCTGGTATCCGGGACCTCCGCGGGTGGGCGCGCCCCGTCCCTTCTCGCCACGCCCCTCCGGCCGCCCCGCAGGCATGCGCAGTGCGGCCAGCTGCGCACCGACCAGCCGGTGCCCGCGGTGGGGGTGGGGTGAGGCTAAGGGTTTCTCCATAGTTCCTTACACTTTTTTAGGGACCCACGCAGAAGCTCCCCGATGCGTGTCTGAAACCGTAAACTGACCGCCTCACATAGAACTCCCTGCTCTCTGGGAACCTGGTACTTGCCTTTCGAAAGCCACCTTTCCTCCGTCCCTCAGAGGTGCCCTTTAAATCCTCCCTGTGGATCCCGGACTTGGGGCTCGCCACGGAAGCCCCGTGGACTCGAGAGCGGCCTGAACGGCCCATCCCTGAGACAGCCCCTCAGAGGTACTGCTGCCTGCCACTGTTAGAAAAAGCAGAACGTCGCAGTGGAGAGGCCCAATTCCTGTATTGGGTCAGGAATCTCATCCCTGCAGTTAAGTGATCCCTAAATGCTTTGGGGGACCACACCCACGCTACTTTTCTGACTCCTCGTACAGTCTGGTTGTCCTATTGTGGACCTCTTGGCGATAATTAACAGAGGCCAACTCCCAGACTGTTAAGGAAGTTTGTGCAGGAAGGTAATACAAGGTTTCTGCATTTCTGACCTACGAAAGGACTCCTTTGAAACCGCTTTTACTATCCCTTCTGAACCACTATTAATAATTTGTTGCATTTGGGGATTTCAGTGGTAATAATCTTGTCATTTTTCCATTTAGTTTTGATTAACTCCGAATACTACATTACTACATGCTTCTCGTACTGGAGAATGCCCCAGTTCTGCAAAGGATGCAAGACAGCAGAATACTGGTAATCCATCTTCCTGGAGCATAAGTTTTGTTATAGGATTTGGAAGAAATGAAGTTAAATAATTTATGAGTCAGGTAATTAAAAATTTTAAACTAAGGCTGGAAAGTTATCTGCTGTTAACTGTCAGTAGTCTGTGCCCTAAATGACAGACTTCCTCCAAGAAAAACCTAAAAAGAACCTGTTTCCCATTATTTTAGGCAGCAAAATTGGAAGGCATAGCAAGTGAATCAAAAAGCCCTACCAATTTCCTAAATCACAATATGGCACCTAGACGTAAGTTAAAAATATACGTTAGGATATAAAATGCTTAAAACATTGCTTCTTGGGCACCTCGCGTTTAATCTGGTTTTTAACATACAGTTGCTTTGTGTGCTGTAGCAGTGGCCTCCCTTAGACCAGCAACATCACACATGTACATCTCCTTTGTGGGCACTCCAAAGCTTTGTAAAGTGACCAGCATGATTCTGATGGTCTATCAATCGTATTTGGAAGAAACATGAATCTTTCTAGCAAACCATGTAGTTTAAAATGTTGCGTTTTTTGAAGACCAAAGATAAATTTTATATATATAAATATCAGCTGAAAAATGTATTGAGAGATAAATGGCTGCTATACAGTTTGCATATCAAAAACTAGAATGTATTCTTCCAGGAAAACATTAATTGGTGAATGCCTGTATTATAAAATAAATGGCAAAAATTCCATTTATTTTAAAGATTTAAAGATTGAAGTTGTAACTTCAAGTACATTTGGGACTGAAGAGTCCTTTCAGGCTATGACCCCAGAGTTCTGGAGTTCTGTGTCTGTAATGATCCCTTGCCAGTATCAGCAGACAAACATGCCTTAATGCTGTGCATTAAACAAGCAGACCTCCTTTGACTCCAAGTTCCTTTCCTGTTACCATTCTTTCTCTCCATTCAAGCCCCCTCCCCTCACGTTCTCCCACGAGCCCATTTTATTCCGGCTTTTCTCCACATCACTTCACTGAAATGGCCTTTAACAAGGTCAGCAGTGATTTCTGTTTTGCTAAGTTCAGTGTTGAGTGTTTATTCTTATCTCAATCTTTGAGCTGCGTGTGACACAGATGATACAATTGAGCACTTCCGCCTTGAGATCCTTTTTTTTTTTTGGCGGCTGGCTGGTGCTGGAATCCGAACCCATGACCTTGGTGTTATAAGGCTGCACCTTGAAACCCTTTGTTCTGGATTTTCAAGACCCCCTCCCCCTTGCTGTATTCCTCCCTCCCACCTTTCTCAATCTTCCTCCTCCTGCCCCTCCTCTTCCTCCAGGTCTCTAGTAATCCTCGGCCCCATTCTGCTTCCTCTGTACCCTTTTGAAGTGATCCCACACAGTCTCACAACTTTAAATACCATCCATCTGCTGGTAACACCCCTTCTCTGAGAGGATCACCAGGAGTTGCCCCTGACTTTCTTCTTTCCTTTCCACCCCCATGCAACCCCACAGCAGTTCCTGGTGCCTCTGCCTGCAACATGCATCTTGGCTGCAGCCTCTTCTGGCTGTCTGCATTTCTACAGCCAGTTTCTCACTGGTCTTCTGCCAAAGACAGTGCCTAACCATCTTCCTGCTTCCTCTCTTGCCCTCCTACAGTTCCTTCTCCACTCAGCATCCAGAGTGATTTCTTGAAAATGGTAAAAAAAAAAAAAAAACATTCCATGCCACCCCCACCCCAGTTTAAACCCTGCCTTGGGCTTCTCTGACAGAATGAAAACTTAAACAACCTGGCCCCTGCATCTTTGGCTTCATCTCTTACCCTCGCTTGTTCATGCTGTTGTGTGTCAGATTTCTGGTATTTACAGCTGAAAGCAGTGTTAACTGACAAATACTAGATTATAGAATCTAGAGCATAGGGCATAGAAGGAAAAGTCTAAGTGAGAATGAAGGGCCAGAAATGGTTAAAAAAAAAAAAAAAAGACACACAAAACAATGAAAACATAACTGATTTGTGTGTATATACCCAAAAAGAATGTAGTTAACAAAATGATTTTTTTAAAAAACCAAGCCAGGGCCGGCCCCGTGGCGCACTCGGGAGAGTGTGGTACTGGGAGCGCAGCGACACTCCCACCGCGGGTTCGGATCCTATATAGGAATGGCCGGTGCACTCACTGGCTGAGCGCGGTGCGGGCGACACCACACCAAGGGTTGTGATCCCCTTACCGGTCACGAAAAAGACAAATAAATAAATAAATAAATAAATAAAAAACCAAGCCAACAGACTTGCAAAGAAATAGAAATACTTTTGCTCATTTTCTTAAAATAAAAATATATGCTTAGTACATATAAAAGGACATATTTCTGGGCCATAATGCAATAAAATTAGAAATAACAGAAAGAATTTAAAAGCTCAATTCCTTGAAAATGTTAAAATATTATTTTCATTAAATTAATGCCTGGACCGGGGTGCAAATCCAAAATACAATTACACTGTCTATAAATATACATGCTTACAAATATATCATATCCAGAAACATGCAGTATTGAAAGAAGAAAGCTCTCCAACTCAGTGTGACCAAGTTATGTTGATTGGAACCCTAGCACTGCCCTGAAGTCATTTGACATCATCCCATTACAATTAGGAGCAGCAGTGCAGGGAAATGTAACTATTGCAGACACCTGTACTGAATTAGAGGTCTCCCTCCTGCCAAGCCTGAACTTGACCTCACAGTTCAGGGTTCCAGGCAGCTGCTAGAAAATTGGTGTTGGCTTGCAAGTTCAAAACTGCCCTCAAACAGAGAGTGGAAACTGACACCAACAGTTACAGTAGAAACAATTAATGGCCCCTGCTGTGGTTCAAATGTTTGTGTCCCCACAAGATTTGTAGGTTAAAACCCAGTCACCAGTGTGTTGGTATTAAGAGGCGGGGTCTCTGGGAGGGTATGGTGGATACTAACATTTATAAAACAAATGTATTTGACAGGGCCTAGCTTCCAAAGTCCTGTATTTTCAGGTATGGCCTAACTTTTTAAAATTACACATAGAAATGTTAAGCTTGCAAAAGACAGGAAACTTTCCCCAGGCTAAAGTCTCTGTTGTAGATAAAGAATTGTAACACAGCAAAATTGCTGGCTCAAAGGACAGATATCCTTGGTGCAGATTAACCTACTGATTGATATGTTGAGAAAGTTACTTGATTGTTATGTAAATATACTGAGGAAATTGCTGTAGGAAAAGACAGTGTTTGCTAAGAACAAGCTTTTGTTGGTGGATCGACTTAACCTTTTACAAATTGCATTATGGAATGTCACTTTGTTTATTTCACTGATGTTACTAGTTTCCTTTTAAAACTATACTCAGCCATAACTCTGACCATGTCCTGTGTTCTTCGTAATGATTAAATCAACTGAATTTTCTTGTGAAACTTATTTGTCTTTACAATAATAGGGAATAACTATGAATCGGGGCTGTCACAATCAGTTTTTTCCTCCTAATGGGGAAATTACTCAAGTGCAGTCCTTCCAGGCCTCTCAATGCATACATAGGGCTTTGAGTAATCCTTTGCGTCTCCATCACCCTGGGGGAGAGGTGACAGGAGGGGATGAATGGAATTAGTGCCCTTAGAAAAGAGGCTCCAGAGGGCTGCCTTGCCCCTTCTACTGTGTGAGAACACAGCAAGAAGAGCCTTCTATGAACAAGAGAGCCCTCACCAGACAGCAAATCTGCCAGCACTGTGGTCTTGTACTTCTCAGCCTCCAGAACCATAAGCAGTAAATTTCTGTTGTTTCTGAGCCACCAAGTCTATGGCATTCTCTTATAGCAGCCTGAAAGGAACTAAGACAGCCCCCAGGAAGAATGTGTGATCCACCCTGTAAAGCTACATGACTATGCCAGTTTTCAGGTTGGGGCCAATTGTATTGTTAAAGCAATTCACAACTAAAGCTAGGGGTTAGGGCCCACAGACCCTTTAAATAAATTATACAGACTGGGTCACAGACCCCTCACACACAGGTCCATGCTAGGTAATTGGGAAAGATCCCAGGAGCCATTGGCAGATGACATGAGATCCGTCCTCAGCAGTAGCAGCAGCAGCTTACAGCAGCAGTAGCAGCAGAAGCAGCAGCGGCGGTGGTCTCTCAGGGCATCCCAGGGGCCCTGGCAGCAACAGCTTATA